CAGTCATCAATCTCTACAGCTGGTTTTCACGTTGCCTCCAAAAAGGTTTGCTTCAAGTTGCTAAAGGCCTTAGAAATTGTTAGGTGAGTAGAAGGAAAAGTTACCGAAAGACATGTTTTTACCAGCCTTCTGGGTGGCTTTGAGGTGCCTAAACGAAGGGGCTGTGAGTGTGGGAAAGCAAAGGTTGTCAGAACATCCTGCCCTCCAATGCCCTGCTGGGTGCTGAGATTGCTTCTCACGGAATCCTCATTCTCTTGGAAACCAGCGGGTCTTGCCACTCAGGGAGTAGCTCCTCATCCTAGCTCCTTGCTTGTAAGGCCAGACTGAGCTGCAGAGACACAGCGGCGTAATGCAAGGAGCTTGTGTTTGGAGGCAGCTCTGTGTTTAAATATTTGCCTGCCTCTTGCGGGCTGGCACTTGTGAGACGTGGGACGAGTTATTCAACTTCTCTGAGCCCGAGTTTCCTCATCTATGAGATGAAGAAATCCGTAAACAGAAAGGCCCTCAGCGAGTGGTGGAAGTTGATTTCAGCACCCACATCACTCTTTTTAGGGCTCGGCCCTACTCTAACTTCTCATCGGGCTTGAGAACCAGACCCAGAGGGGCAGGCGAGAGGTGCTTACCTCGAAGTCCGGGCGCTGGCGGATGGGTTGGCACAGCACTGGATCTTGGCACGGGCAGTTGGCCGCGGCCAGGACTGGGAGCAGCAGGAGCAGTGGCAGCAGCAGCAGCAGCGGAGCGATCCCTGGGGCGCCGCTCCGTGGGCAGGCGAGGAGGCGCCAGAGTATGAGCGGCGGACTGGACATGCTGGTAAGACACCGGGTGGCGAGCAGGATCCTCAGGCCAGGCGGGGCGAGGCCTGACGCTCCGCAGGCGGTCGGGGCGGGGCTCCGGGGCGGGAAGCGCCGGCTCTGGGCCATGGCCAATGTGGGTGACTGCGATCTGGCGGAAAGTAGAAAGTCAGCTGTGAACCCCAGAGAGCCAGTGCCTTGGGCCACAGCCGACCAGTTGACTCAATCAAGTAAATATCATGTGTTTATCTGTCCCTCCACCTCCCTCCCTCCCAACATTGCAGCTCTCTTTGGTTTATTTGTGTTAGTCATTTGTAAAATCCTTGTGAAGTCTGCAGATGTTGCCAAAATGGATAAGTAAGGGGCCTTGGAAGGGATGAATGAACTACGTGGTTGGAATGGCCAAAAGACTTTTAAGACAACATGGTGTTTTGAAT